TGGACTGTTAACTGCTGTAACCTGGCTCATTGAGTCTGTGAATTGGTGAATGCACAACTTGAAGGTAACACTATACAATAAGGTTCATTAGTTTAACATAAGTTTAACTAGTTAACATGAACTAAGAAAGAAAAATACTTCTTCAGCATTTATTAATAAGTTAATATTAATTTCAATATGTTTATTAAAATCCAAAGGTGTATTGTTAACATTAGTTAATGCACTGTTAACTAACAATAATGAGCTGTAATTTTTATAACTGACATTAACAAAAAAGAATAAATACTGTATCAAATGTATGATCATTGTTCATGTTAGTTGATACATTATTAATTATTGTGAAGTGTTACTAGGTTTTGTGAATGATCATTGAAAACACTTTTTGAAAGATTATTTTCTTCATAAATTGACTTGCACTTGATCAGACTATATTTTATGAATATTTTTACATCTTTTTGCTTCTTCAATCTTAGTTTGTTGTATTTGCTGAGAAAAGAAAATGAAAGACAGTCTAGTAGGTATTCTTGTTCCACGAATGAAAAAGTCCCGTGGGTTTGGAATGAAATTAAGTTAAGTAAATAATAATGATTGAATGTTAATTTTTGGCAATTTTCTGCATGTATATTAAAGTGCAAATCGATCAAAATTTAGATTTTTAATGATGATAATGTATCTTTCTTTAAATTAAAATTTGCTTCTGTAAAAGCAAAACTTTTTTTTATTTTAATTACATTTAATAGCCAAAGCATCCTACTCACAACCCATAATCTAAAAAGAGATTCACCAACCAAAGAAGTCGATGTTACCATGGTAATGGAAATTGTTGTGAATGACGTAACTGAGTTTACTGTTAAACATCTCGCATATTTGTAGACACTATTATTATTATTCATATGAATGTGAGAATAATTCATTTATATTACCAAAGACATTTAGGAATGCTTGGAATATCAGATGAAAAGACCGTGTAAAATACAGCAATCCATATATGATTTGAAACAAAATCTACTCTTTGATTCTTGATTTGATTCACTCACACACATTCATGCATCTATCAGCATGTCTGCTGGTTGATGTGGACTGGTCTGCATGAAAGAGGATCAAAACAAAATAGGGAGCAACTTCCAAGTGGACTCAGATGCTGAAGCCAGCGAGTGGGGCACTTTCCCATCATTTTGGGAGCGCTTTCTTTAGAGAGTTACTGGAACGTTCCCAAACTCCCACCCCATCCGTTCCGCTGCAGGAGGCAGTGCACACTCAAAAGCAAGCTTTTGTTTACTTCCAACTATCTTCTTTTAAGTCTCATTTTGTCAAAGTAAGATTAGTGACCATGAGGCGACCATTTCACCATAGTGCTGTAGCACAAATGGGATATTGTCTACATATGCTAAATTTGGGAATATTAGTGGGTGTTTGAAGAAGAGTGCAAAGTACATCTCAGCATGACAGAAAGCTTCATTAGCAACCAGGAATGCCATCCAAATGTTCTGCCCTTGTCCAATTCAGACAAGCCTTGCTTTTTTTTCCTAGTCCTGTTTCTACTCACTGATTTGCAAATTGGATTAGCTCACAAAAAAAACTGACATCAAACAGCCAATTAGACAAAAAGAATAAACATATTGTGTAATAAAAATATAGAATAATTGGGATTTGGGGAGTCAAGCATTACTTTTATTACTGATCAAAATTAAAGGACTAGTTCACTTTGAAATTAATTTTTGGTATGTTTTAGCTTACCTCAAGGGCAACCAAATGTAGGTGTCTTTGTTTCCGCAGTAGTTTCAATTTTGATATTTTTAGGTCAAACTGTTCTTGTCTGTCAATCATATAATGCAGGTCTATGGGGTCCACCTCAAAGAGCATGCACAGAGCAGTCCAAATTAAACATGATTTAATGACTCGTAAATGTAAGCACACAATGGCCTAAGACACGAAACGAGCGGTTTGTGTGAGAAAACAGTATTTATATCGTTTTAACAATATCAAAATTGAAACTACTGCGGAAACAAAGACATTTACATCTTGGATGCCCTTGAGGTAAGCTAAAACATACCAAAAATGAATTTCAAAGTGATCTATCCCTTTAAGACTGGAATACACTAAACAACTTAAAATCCGACTTTCTTGACTTTCATAATTATCTTTTAAATTGACAAATATCATCAGGGCACAGTTCAGACAGAATCAAAAGATAAGTTGTCTCTCGCCATTGACCACCATACATATTTTTTTCCGAAACAAGGTCCCATGAGCCGCAAGCGGAGGGGAGGGACTTAGGCTCTCTATTGATTTTAGTTTCAGAAAGTGAAGTCCCACCCACTGATCTGTAATAGGTCTGGAGCATGAGTGGGTCCCACACTCTGGGAAAATAAGGAACGAGTGTTTGTAGTCTCAGCCCCTCTACCAAAATATGGTACTTCCTGCTTAGAATGATGCAACATGACGATTTTTAAGCAGGAACTGCAACACTGAAATCCTTATTTCTCTCGTCTCAGGGAAAAATGAGGGAATAATGCACTACCAATAAAAATATGACTGGGTTTCTAATGATACAAAGCTTAATGCAAATGGGTGAAGTGTCCCTTTAAGGAGAGTTGTAATATTACTTTCGTGATCAGATTTATTTATTTTTTGGCGATTAAATAGTCAGAGACTTGAGCCATTTTAAAGTATTAGAATGTCATATTAAAATTTGGGGTGGGTGGACCATTTCGACTTGCTAGCAATCACCCAGAAATCCATATGTTAATATGCGGAGACAGTCTTAAGTAAACTGTTTCGTACGTTGATTTCCTTGGGAAAATATAAACACTAGCTCAGGTGTTCTCAAACATTGCTTGGTTTGTTCGAGTGGCTTTGGAATGGGAATTCCTGTTTGTCCAACCAATGGAAGACAGAGTTCTGAAACTTTTATGATAACAGGGCCTATAATTATAAAGGGACAGTCCACCCCAAAATAATGAAAATTGTCATGCTTCTCACGATCATGTTCAAAACATACTGTATATCTTTCTAAAAAGAGTCCAGTAGCAGTTTATCTGCATTTATAACGTGTATTACAGACAAATCAACTGTATGTATTATATGCTCACTTGCATACAATTGACCTATGGCTAAGCCACACCCTCAAACGCGATGAGCCAATCAATGTGCAGATAACCCAATACACTCAGACATTCTCTGCTTCCACGTCCATTGAAATGGATTGCAACTCCGACACTACTGTAGGTTTCCGAGAGGCTGGGCGACGGTGTGTTTTTTTTTTTTTTTTTTTTACCAACACTGTAAAAAATATTTTCAAGATTTGTTATCAGAACATATTTTCTTTTGTCAAATCAACTTTATAATCATTTATTTAGTTGAGATAACTTATTATTTTGAGTTTCTGATGATTAAATTAATCTACTTCATTGTATTAACTCACTTTTTCCAGTTCAATCAACTTAAAATTTTAAGGCAACCCAAGTTACTTTTTTTAAGTTAAACCAACAATATTTTTTTACAGTGTATAGCAGAATAACAATGCAAAATCCAAGAAATGAGCCATTCCCTGAATAGTTAGAAATGATTCTTATACATTGGTAACAAGTTGAATGAAATGTTGTTTTATATTTTAGGACCACGAACATTAAGAGTTACAACCATCAAGGTTTGTTAAATTCATTATATCTGGGCTACTTATAAATACAATTTTTGTAATGATTTGTACGTGTTTGACACTTACCCACAATTCCATGCAGGAAGAACCGTATGCAATGTCTAAAGGATCCGAACTGGAGGGCTTCTGCATTGACCTGCTGTCGGCTGTTTCTAAGAAATTAGATTTTAAGTATGATATTCATGTTGTGAAGGATGGTCGATATGGCAAAACAGATGACAGCGGCAACTGGAACGGCATGATTGGAGAGGTTGTAAGAGGGGTGAGTATCACAATCTTTGAGCGGACAAAACCTGTTCCATGTCAAAGTTTATATGTTCTAATTTACAAATGTTCACACAAAACATTAAAATATATTAGTTGTTTGAACACTCTTTCATAATTGGGAATGTGGCTGTGTTCAGAATTAACTAATCATCAAGCTAATGTGAAATAGTAAACAGTCTTCACCTGAAGTGACTGATTAACTCCAAAGAAATCTCAGTTCTTCTTGTAAAAAAAATGACACCATCTTGGTTGCAACTACAAAGAATTTACGAGGAATCAACAGGATCTCATTGTGGAAAGGTATCGCTCAGGTAAGGATTGCAAAAAAAATCATGGAGAAAGTATGGCACAGTGACATTATCAAGAACAGAATGTATCTCCATAATTGACGAAGACATAAAAAAACTGGTCAGAAAGGCTGTCATTGAGAATACAGCAACATTAAAAAGAGTTGATTGCTCCCTACATGACAACTACGTCCCGTATTTTGGACTATGGGGTAGGGTGGCAGGACACAATAATAAAACATACAAACCCAGCGGAAATTTTCAAAAGCATATATCCAATCTTTCAAAGCCAAATGTGTTTAAAGAACACCAGTGAATCATGGTGGTGGCAGCATTATGCTTTGGGGCTGCTTTAATTTGGCTGCAAGGGTTTTAGTGAAGGTGGAGGGAACCATGAATTGCTCCGTTTGCCAGTCAATTTTGGCACAGAACCTTCTGGTGTCTGCTAGAAAGATAAAGATGAAAATAACTGTCACCTTTAAGCTTGGCAATGATCCAAAACACACATTTAAATAAAATTTTAAAAAATCTGTGGGATGAACTAAAGAGGACCATGCACGGGAGACGCACTAGCAATTTAATAGCTCTGGAACGTTTTGCAAAGAAGATTGGGAAAACATTTTCGAGACAAAATTAATAAAAGCAAAGAGTGCTATTAGGTATTCGTTCAGGGTTGGCAGTGTTGTTGTTTTTCTGAAATGTGTCACTTTGGTTTCCAGTGGCATTGCATAGGTTGTAATTTTTACATTAAAGGAATACTTCACCCATAATTTACTCACCCTCAAACCATCTTACGTGTATATGACTTTCTTCATTCAGCCAAACATAATAGGAGTTCTATATGACTCCAGTTGGTTAATAAATGCCTTCTGATGCATGGGCATTGTCGGAAGCCATTCATTACAGTTTATAACGTTGTAAATATAGATATTTTTCTTACAAAAACCCATCGTTTCACTTCAGAAGACATTTATGAACCTACTGCAATCGTATGGATTGCATTTATGATGGGTGGATTAGCTTTTTGGAGCTTCAAAAGCTATTCAATGCTATTACAAAGCTGGAAAGAGCCATGATATTATTAAGAAGAAAGTCATATACACCTAGGATGGCTTGAGGAGGGTGAGTAAATTATGGGATCATTTTTTGGGTGAACTATTCCTTTAAGGTGAAAAGTTCTGATATGATTTATCGTTATTTAATTTATTTTTTTTACATCACAAAAACGTGCGTTTTAACTGGGATGTGTAAATTTCTTATATCAATAAATAATAAATTGTTTTCTACTTTCTTTTAAGAAAATATGGCGACAAATCTATGCCAATAATAACCAAGCGCACAACTGATGATATGCGCAAATTGATATGGTAATATGTTTGACATTTTTACAATAACAATCAGCGCATGCATCTCCAATTTATGGTAAGAGGCGTGACCTTTCTGAGCAACGTGCGATAAGCTGCTGTCCAATCACAACACAGGAACCGCTGGCACAATCAGAACTCGTTACGTTTTTCTGAAGGAGGGCCTTCATAGAGCAAGGAAGTCATCGGCCCGTTTTTTTGGACAGTGAAAACAGCGGTATACAGATAAGTAAACTGTGTGAAAAATACTGTGTTTTTTTATTTTACATGCGAAACATGAACACATGTTATATTGCACACTGTAAACACAATCAAAGCTTCAAAAACACATGAAGAGTGGGACCTTTAAGAGATATTTACAGACTGTTATGACGTATATATCCATAGATATTAGCTTTGCAAATGTACCCACATTTTTATACAATTTGACATAATAGGCCTATATGTGGTTCATTCTGTTTTCTATTAAATGTAAAAGGGGTTCTGGCTTAAGGGGTTCTAGTTAAGATATAGTAAACAGCATGAATTATAGCTTATAAATGCCTTATTAGAATTTGCTACAGAATACATAGTAACAAAATTAAACCCAGCAAATTATTAAACCCAGCTTAAACCCAGCAAATTACACTGTAAAAATTAAAATGCTATATCTAAGTAATAAATTAACAAATTACAATTGTGTAATAATCAATCAAATTAATTCCTTAAAGGTTAACCAGTAATGAGTAAGAGTCAACCAGTCAAATGATTGTGAATTTTTTTTTTTTTTTTATTATGTTAAAACATAACCAACACCATCAGATAACACCACCATAAAATGAACCTTTGGTCTAATAAAAACATCGGATAATAGAATGTAAAGAGTTTTATCTCTAAAAACTGTTTAGCGTATAATGCTAGTACTGGGGGCATTTTACTAAGTAAAAAGAAATCGCTAGTTTATACCCCACACTAACACAGTAACATAATGAGGGTCCATACATGCAAAACGAAGTATTGAGAACTTTGTAAGTGTACAGACCGTTTAATAAGAACATACTTTATAAAGTCAGTTACATTCGAAACTCTTTACATTCAATTATCATGAAAACAAATCTCAGAGAACGGTTGACTAGGTACCGATGTTTTAATAGACCAAAGGTTCATTTTCTCCTTTAAGGGCCAAGAGCCCAACTAAAACAAACATTGATCACCATAATGGTGACTTGAAATGATGGTTTTCTCCTTCAGTGATTCTGCTTGTTAACATCACTTGTCTTCAATATTGGCAATATAAAATAAAGAGTTCTTCATTCATCTTTGATGTCTATCTGTTATTCAGATATTTTTGTTTATTTTTGCTGTAAATTTTACTCATTTTAAATGGTTAACTTTTAAGGGATTAGCTTGATTAATTATTACTCAGTTCTAATTTGTTGAATTTAATTAATAATATTGCTTTTAATATGTTGTCACAATTTTATTGATTAGATATAGCGTATTAATTTTTACAGTGTAGATATTAAAATATTATATAGTAATCTTAATCACTGTGTACATTTGCAATGCTAATAACCATATGCGTCATTACAGACTGTAAATATCACTAGTAAGACTTCTTGCAAATAAAGTATATGGGAAGAATCCATTCTATATTAACAATGCATTAAATCACATAACACATTAATAAACCACAACAAATAAAACTAAGTGATGTCTCCTGTCTCAACAAGTCAACTGACTTCCGGAAAAGGGGAAGTAACCAACGACATTCAAGGTTATTAAAACAGTAAGTCCCACCCCTCGACTTCCAAAAATAAAATTGTATTGGCTTGTATTGCGTGCAGAGGAGATGTCATGCGGGCGCAAGGTTTTTGAATGAGCTCGCAAGTTCCTGTTTCCTCGCGTGTAGATCTGTTATCCTCTCGCGGAAGTCAACCATGCGCGCCAGCATCAGTTGTGCGCTTTGTTATTATTGGCATTGATTTGTCGCCATAAGAAAAACTCACTCTTTGATGGGGAGTGGTGAAGCTTGGCCTGTCTTTTATTTAACTGTCAGAGCAGACCAGTGTTGCCAATTATAGTGTCGCTAGATTTAGCAGCTTTTCAGACCCCTTTAGCAACTTTTTTTCCAAAAAAGCACCTAGCGACAAATCTTGAGAATTTTTGGACAACCCTTAGCAACTTTTCAAATATTGACCGAATGGCAGCTGACATAGACGTGAAAAAACAGCGCACACTCTAAAAAATGCTGGGTTGTTTTAAGTAAATTTTGGGTCAAATGTTGACAAACCCAAATGTAAAAATGTAGCCCAACGGCTGGACTAAACCAACCCAGCATTTTTTAGAGTGCATGTGCATGCTGTATTGTCACAGACCAATCACTTATCGTTTTAAATTTTAATTAAATTTAAACATTTATTCTTGTCATGTGCTTATATTACTCACTATCACACTGCAGACACGTTTCAGAACGTCAGTGACTACCAGCCGAACAGATTCCAGATTGGTAAGAAGTTTATGGATAAGTTAATCCATCCAGTTCTCATCCTTTAACGTCATATAGAACGCTATATGCAAAAACGGCGCTATACTATGTACATGGCACCCTTTATCGTTAATATAACACGCGAACCCAAGACTTTATAAATCCTTTAGCGTGAATATGACACGCACACCCTACCCCACACCTAAACTTAGCCCTCACAGCGCGTGTTATATTAACGATAACGGGTGTCATGTGCGTAGTATAGCGCCGTTTTTGCATATAGCGTTCTATATGACGTTAAAGGATGAGAATGCGTTGGTTAATCACACGTGACAAAAGGAGTTGTGGCGACAATGTGTTGTCAGCACCAACCCCTGAGAACTGTAAAACACTAAAGTATGACTTTAGCCATCTTCCATCGGGCTTTACGGTAGCTGGGACCCAGTGTGTTATATGTGCAGATTTCCAGGCAAATTATACCATGAAGCACCATTTAGAAACTAAACACCCGACACTCAAAGACAAACCCTTAGATTTTTTTGCCTTGCACAACAAAAATGCAACATCAGCAAAAACATATCATGTCTTACAGGTGTCTAGGGTGTCTGGGGTGGTGATGGCGCAGTGGATAAGACACATGCCTTTGGTGTGAGAGACCCGGTTCGAATCCACTGTGAGACACCATTGTGTCCCTGAGCAAGACACTTAACCCCTAGTTGCTCCAAAGGCGTGCGACCTCTGACATATATAGCAATTGTAAGTCGCTTTGGATGAAATCGTCAGCTAAATGAATAAATGTAAATGTCTAGAAGCATCCTACCACGTCTCGCAACAAGTTGCTAAATTAGAAAAACCTCACACAATTGCCGAGGTGCTAATCTTCCCTGCTGTCTGAGGTATCTGTCAAATCATGTTTGGAGAGAATTTCGCACAACAGATTGGTGACATCCCCCTTTCTAACAACACCATTAGCTGCTGCATATCTGACATGGCAAGTGACATTAAGGAGCAATTGCCAGCTAACATCATGCAAAGCCAGTACCATGCCCTGCAGTTTGATGAGACAACTGATGTTGCAGGGCTTGCACTGTTCCTTACCTATGTCAGATATATCAAATATGAAAAGTAATTGAATCTATCTATCTAGCAATCATAAACTTATAGATCAGGTTATATATAGATTATATATAGATTAGTTTATATATATATATATATATATATATATTATATAGAATAGATAATCATTAATCCTTGTCTTCTCCAAATAAAGAGAGAGAGGGAGGGAGGGGGGGCACATGATAGGGGATCCTTGCGGGGGCTTTAGGCCCCGTCCACACTACTGCGGTTTCATTTAAAAACGGTGAATTAAAACTAATACGATCTCCGTCCACACCAGCGTTTTATCTGCGTATTAGAATTGATCTTCGTCCACATTAAAACGACTGAAAACGTGGATCACGTGACCATTCACCAACACTGGGCATGCGCCTGTGTAAACAGGAAACGGATTGACTATTTCTTTTACGACTATTCCTAAGAAGAAAGTAACGTTAGCTAACGTTACCTCTGCAAAGATTAGAAATGTCGAAGACCAGAGATTTATTTACATGGACCGACGACAAGGTTGTTTTTGTAAGTTTTCTTCCGGGGATGGGTCACGTCACGACTGATGACACCAAATCAAAGAGCCGAGCATGAGCCTTTGCGTCATCATTTCTAAAGTCCTCTGGTTTGTCCCGTCTTCACTAAAACGCCCTCCAAAAAAATTCAAAACACAAAACGGAGCTGCAGCTTTTCTAAACTTCTCAGTTTTAGGTCTTCGTTTTTTCCGTTTTAGTCTGGACAGGAGGTGCAAACGTAGCAAAAGGTCTCCGTTTTCAAACGAAAACGCAATAGTGTGGACGGGGCCTTAGTTCCAAAAGTTTGAGAATCCTGCTCTAAGCGGTTTTAGTTTTGCTAGAAAAGTGTCAGAAATTCCTCAGATGCTGACTCCAGGAGCTTGAATGGGGAATCTGACTTCATTAATAGGCTTATTAGATGGCTAGACACAATGGCTTTCTAAGATAACCTTTGAGTGTAGCAGAGTATCCTGTTGAAAATGTAGAACTCAACCAAGCAGGCCGTAGACTGGGTCCAAATAATAGCTGTTTGCACCATGAAGCAAAGAGTTGCCATTTCTGGGCATACAATTACCTAAATATAAAGTTCATTCACATTAATCAATACTAAATTTCAGAATTAGTAACTTAGTTTTTAACTAAGTTTTTTGTTGACTTGAGAACGTCTGCAATCAGATCAGTTTGATTCACACATGAATCATTCAGTGTGATTTAAGGTTCATTGGAAAGATCAGCTCGTTCATGAATCAGACATTGTGTTTTGGGACGGGTGTCCATTTCTTCAAAATAATGAGGAACTATTTGTTTTCAGGAATTGCTGGAGAGTATAAAGTACAATATTGTGCTTTGGAATGTAGTAAAGTAAAAGTTTCCCCAAAATACAAATACTTAAAAAAAATGTATTTACTAAAAACTCTTGGCTACTGTCTGATGAAATTCTTAAGTCTACAGTGATATCATCAAAATCATTGATCCATATTGTCAAAACTGAGAGACTAAGTTTGAAAACTTATATATTCAAAATGCAGATTTTGTCATTGTTTTGACGCACCCTAACTTGATAACAGTAAGGCTAACACACTCTAAAGGTTCAATATAGAACCTAAAAATGTTCTATCAAAATGTTATATCTTTTTAAGGGTTCAATAATAAGAACCCTTTAGGGTTCTTTGTAACCAGGAAAAGGTTCTATATGGAACCTTTTAGGTTCATTCATTATCATTTGTTTTGTCCTTTCCGGATTAATTATTTCATATTATTGACAAACATCAAGATCCTAAAATGTATTTGTGAATGCATGTGAATTATCACAAAATTCAAGATATGGGGGTTAGAAAAAGTATATATTTATATCATTTTATGTAGTTAATCAATATCACACGAAGAGTGCCATTTCAGTTTTTCATGTGATATTAAGTTACTACAACAGTTTAATAAACAATCGTTTAATTACAACTACAAAATGTTACAGAATAATGTAATGTATGAATGAATAATAGCCTATAAAGAACCTTTGTGTAAAAAGGGTTCTTTCTTTTCATTATAGAAGCTTTTTTAGCATAAAAAGTTCTTTGGAGTTGAGTAAAGAACCCTATGCTTCATCTATAGAACCCCAATGAACCCTTCTTTCTAAGAGTGCATATTCATACTAAAAGCCAAAAAACTTCAACTTCTATGATTTCATGGGGGGTTTTAAATATATCATTTATTTCTGTTTTCGTCTTATCTGAAAATGTTAAGGTCTGCCTTTCTCATTGAGGCAATACTTTTAAATCTACACGTTTCTACAAAGTTCATGTATTACGTAAAAGAGTCTCAAGAAACCCTCCTTGTGTGTGTGTCCATGTGTATGTTGCTGATTTCTACAGGAGGCAGACATCGCTGTGGCACCTCTAACTCTTACAGCTAAACGTGAGACAGCTGTGGACATGAGCAAACCCTTCATGCAGACTGGCCTTAGTTTCATCCTACTAAAAGACTTGGCTTCAGATGACTCCCAGTTCCTGAGCCTTCTTAACCTGTTCTCCACGGAGATGTGGATGGGTATACTGGTCGCCTACCTGTTGACCTCTATCTGTATCTTCTTTGTGTCACGGTAAGGGTGGGATGGTAATACAATGGCACTTTGACATGTAGGATGATAATGAATAATGATATGCCATGATGTTTAGTTGATGTTCCAAGATCCTTCAAATTATCATGATATCCAAAAAAAAAAAAACACAAAACCATGCTTATGGTCTGTTTTTCAGGATAAGCCCCAGTGAATGGGAGCAACCAGAAGAAGAAAATAATTGCTTCACCCTCGCACACAGTTTATGGTATACCATGGGAGCACTTACTCTTCAAGGTAGCTTACATACCATGGATAAGTATGCTTACAAGTATTTACATCCTCACACACTTTACAATACAACAAAACAACTTTATTACCTGATTTACCTGTATCACATTAAGAGCCAGTTCATGAATTAGCAATTGGCTTATGATAAATATGATTTAATTTTGTTTAATAAAGTTGCAACAACCATAAAAGCATCATAGGCTTACTGGGGAAACCCCGCTATCCTTCAAAAACATACATAGGGTACACATATATGATTCACAACACTTTTCAGCTAAAATGAACATCGAAGCCTACAGCGCTTATGATAGGGCGGCATTGCACTTGTTTAGATATGAGTTGGCCTTCCTACTGTGAAACACGAGTCAGGATAAAAGAGTTCATAGACTAAGATAAGCAAGCTAAAATTTCATCTTCAGTAAATGCGTTTTTATCTATCACATTATTTAGCATTAGTTGAAACTATTGTTTGGATTTAGGATCAAGGTGGTAGGCCTAAAATATTTTTTTCAAACGCGATTTAGCATTTAAAGTCAAGCACTGGGATTTTAGTCAAGCACTGGGCTCGCCTAGCTATGTCTGGCAGGTTTGTGTATTCACCGCCGTTGTCCGTATCAGAGAAGACAACTCGAGCGACAAAACTTTCGTCAACAAAAGTAGAAGATGTATTCAAAGAGACCAGCTTGTAGTTCATTCCAAACCCCAACGCAAACTAAACTTAAGACAAAGGAAATAAAACTTGTGTCTAGTGCCATCGGAATTGGTTAGTCGCAGTTTCTCTTGTTGCCAGAGGGGGCGTAGTTCCCCAAAAACTCAGAGACTTGCGTTTTGCACCTTTAAAGGGACTTTGAAATATGCACACGAGACAGTCAATTAGATGCATACACACTGACATTGCTCTGAGGAGACACTGATCTCTCTGAGGTTTGAACCCATGGCTGTGTGTAAACATTTGTATGCCATAAAGGTGTCAATGGCAATTATAATGCAGACTCGGTGGTGCCAAAAGGATAAGAGTCAAATGGTTAAAAGCATTCTCACATGTAGAATTGAATGAGTCAAAATGGCACAGTCCACAGATACACTACACCTACATCAACTAATAAAACATTGCCACATTAATTATGTTTGCATTTAAAACTGAACACGCTTTTTAGTGCCACTCATTGGGCATTTCACTTTAACTTAACATAATTTTGCAGAAATTATACCACAGGTACATATATCCAGTGAGCCTGGGTTGCCAGATTAGCAACTTATAGTTTACTAAAAAGTCTGTTATACATTTTTTCTGCAGGTGCTGGTCCTCACCCAAAGGCTCTTTCAGGAAGGGTCATTACAGCGATCTGGTGGCTGTTTTCATTAGTGTTGCTTGCTTGTTACTTTGCCAACCTTAGTTTATGGCTGCATTCAGACAACCAGCAACTGTCAATCAAGAGCTTTGAAGACCTTGCTAATCAAAACTTGATTGAGTACGGTACCATTAAAGATTCTTCTTCTTTTGCATTCTTCAAGGTAAGACACAGAATTTCTTTAATACAGTATAATAATTTAATTTTAACATATAAAATGATTATTATAATAGTTATTAACCTATAAAACTTTTGTTCATCTTCTACACACAAATTATATTTTTAAAATTCTTTCAACTATTTTTGTCCAGTAGGTCTAGGTAATCAACATTTTTTAACTTCAAAAAGTACATAATAAAAGTATATGTATTAAGAGGTCTCCTGAAGAGACAGGATCACTGTATATGAACACATTTACTTTAGGCTTTTATTCACAATTTGTCATCAGCAGCTTAGCTTACTTGGTGAACCGAGAACCTGTTCACCATATAAATAGAGAAAACTTAGAATAAAAAGTTTGATTGGATTACTTTTATGATGTCTTAAATTATCTTTAGAAGCATGAAAAAGGTGATTACAACTTATGTTGTAAAAATATCTTGATTTGTGTTCCGAAGATGAAGTCTTAAAGGTGTAGTTCACTTTTAAAAAAAACTTTTGCTGATAATTTACTCACCCCCATGTCACCCAAGATGTCCACGTCTTTCTTTCTTCAGTCGAAAAGAAATTAAGTTTTTTGATGAAAACATTCCAGGATTTTCTCCACATAATGGACTTCATTGGGAACCAAACGGTTCAAGGTCCAAATGAGAGTTTCAGTGCAAACTGTTCAAAGCGCTTTAAACAACACCAGACGATGAATAAGGGTCTTATCCTTCGAGTCATGACTCGAAAAAAAAATTGTTCATTTTGATGAACGAGTTTGAACAGGAGAGACACAAACGCTCATCACAGAACAGAGCAAGCATTTGTGCTTATAAAAGCATTTGTGCTTATAAAACTTAAACTTTTTTAGTTATTTTTTTAATGAGCGATCGTTTCGCTTGATAAGACCCTTATTCATCGTCTGGTGTTGCCCTTTGAACAGTTTGCACTGAAACTCTCATTTGGACCTTGAACCGTTTGGTTCCCAATGAAGTCAATTATGGAGAAAATTCTGGAATGTTTTCATCAAAAAAAATCTTAATTTCTTTTCGACTGAAGAAAGAAAGACATGGACATCTTGGATGACATGGGGGTGAATAAATTATCAGCAAAAGTTTTTTTAAAGTGAAAAGGGACAGTGAAATTGGAACAGCATAAAAGTGAATTAATGATGAGAGAATTTAGATTTTTGGGTGAAAATATGAAATATACTTTTAAGCTGTGTTTGACCCGATTCGGTGGTTGATAGCAATTTTTAGAATATACAAAACCTTTGTAAACTAATTCTGAATGTTGAATCATTTTATGTCAATTGGTTAGTATGCATGACTTGCGCATTATTTAAAGAGCAGCTGCCAACTACTGTTTTACTGTTACTCGCCTTTGACAGAACTCAAACAACCCCACATACCACAGAATCTATGAGCATATCCAGAACGCCCAGAGCTATTCACTCACTGCAGAAGAAGGTTTCCGCAAGGCTCAGAAAGGCAACTATGCTTTCATCGGCGAGTCTGTGTCCCTCGACCTGGCCGTGGCAAGATACTGCAACCTTACGCGTTCCCCAGAAATCATCGGCATGAGGGGTTACAGCATTGCTGCTCCTTTAGGTATGCTCTCTGTTCCATAAAACTATAGATGTTTGCATACAGAAAATGAAGTCTCAAAATTCTTATTTTGAAACATACCATATGGTTTAATGTTCAATGATATTCCTATAACTACAGTTCATTTACCATATAAAAAGCATGGTACTTGAATATTATAATAATCAGTAGTGCCTAGGGTTGGGTATCGAGAATCGAGTATCGATTGGAACCGAGACTAACTTTTTGTTTTTCCCGGAATCGTTCAAAAGTTAAAATTTCGATTCCTAGTTTCGATATTCGCAGTCCGCCGAGCGGAAGAAGAAACCACTGAACAACACCAACGAAGAAGCGTCTACCGGAAGTGTTGGCATAACCACGCGAGTCGAACATGAGTACCTTACGTCGGCGATCCAAAGTGTGGCGTCGCTTTTCTAAAAATAACGAAATCAACAAAAGGAGTATTTTTACAGAAGGAGTATTTCCTTCAGAAAGGCCGTTGGTTAGCAAGGTTAGCTAAACGTTTTTGACCCTGCCTCTTAAAAGAATCGGAATCGAGAATCGTTAGGAACCGGAATCGAAACAAGGAATCGGAATCGGAATCGGAATCAGAATCGTTCAAATTCAAACGATACCCAACCCTAGTAGTGCCATGGTATTAGCATCTACATCTCACCGTCTCTGTGTTTGTGTGTGTGTATTAATGTCCTCAGGCTCTCCTCTACTGAAAAACCTAAGTGTTGCCATTCTCCAACTAAGTGAGTCGGGCGAGCTGGATTACTTCCGCAGTAAATGGTGGGCTAGCAGTTGTGTGGCTAAAAGTGACAAGAGTGCTCCACTGAAGCCCAGCAGTCTGAAGGGAATCTTCTTATTACTGGCCCTCGGTCTGGGACTGGGGCTTTTCTTGGCTTTGATGGAACTGGCTGCCAAATCACGCAAAATCGCTAACACTCAGCAGGTGAGAAGCCCCCCATCTCTCTATCAGTATATGGACAGCGTGATATTGCCAAGTAAAGCTGCTTTTAACAATAACTATAAAGAAAGATAACTTAGCATCCTTCCTTGTCTGCCGCTTTAAATGCTTGAGCTCGTTACAGCAGGATGAATTCTGATTGGCTGTTTATCAACTCCCAAAAAAAATTTGTTCTGAAAGTGATTCCAATGATATCGTTACTCTGTGCCGTTATTGTTATAGCTGTGGTGTGGACTCTGCTATCCTTTGATATTGAGAACGATTTTTAGAACTATATCTTTATAGTTATTGTCCTTGGTGTGAACACGCCTTAAGACATGTTCCTGGATCCTGGAACAACATTCTTGTCTGAAAATTTAGTCCTACTCTCCTAACCCTGTCCCTACTCCTAAACCTAAGCTAAAGCCTGATCAGAGGAAAATGGTATGTGAACACTGATATACAAGCACCTAACCCTGATTGTAAGCCTAAACATGACATAAACTGGAAAACTTGCCCCTCAAATCTGATTGTTTGAGATTAGAATGCTGTTCCAGATCAGCAAATATGTTGAAATCATGTTCATCATATCATATTTATTTCTAATTCAAAAGCATTTATAAAAGCTTCTTAAATGTCCTAAATTAACTAAAGCCTAATCCAAGCCCAGTCTGTAAAACCAGACCTTATGTATTTTATAAAAAACATTACTGTTGTGCATCTAGATACAAACAATGGCTGCCGTATTTTAAGACGTGCATTTTAGTGTGGGACTGAGTTTAAAGGATTAGTTCACTTTTGAAAAAACTTTTGCTGATAATTTACTCACCCCCATGTCATCCAAGATGTCCATGTCTTTCTTTCCTCAGTCGAAAAGAAATGAAGGTTTTTGATGAAAACATTCCAGGATTTTTCTCCTTATAATGGACTTCAATGGGAACCAGGTCCAACCGAGGTCCAAACGACAGTTAATAACAGTTTCAGATGCAGCTTCAAATGTCTTTAAACGACACCAGACGATGAATAAGGGTCTTATCATGCGAAACGATCGGTTATTTCAAAGCTTATTCCAAAAATGTAACTTTTCTAAGGACAAATGCTAGCCTTTCTCCATTCTGTGAGGCGCGTTTGCAACGTCACGTAATACGTAATTACGTTCAAAAGGTCACGGGCGACGTAGCCGGAAGTACAGAGTCTGTTTACAAGTTGAACGCATAGGTTGAACGTGAAAACTAACTCAAATGCCGTTTACAAAAAAGGAATTAAAAGGTAAAACAACGATGTCGCACGATTTTGATTCTGTACTTCCGGCTACGTCGCCCGTGACCTTTTGAACGTAATTACGTATTACGTGACGTTGCAAACGCGCCTCACAATATATTACAAGGCTAGCATTTGTCCTTAGAAAAGTTACATTTTTGGAATAAGCTTTGAAATAACCGATCGCTTCGCATGATAAGACCCTTATTCATCGTTTGGTGTCGTTTAAAGACATTTGAAGCTGCATCTGAAACTGTTATTAACTGTCGTTTGGACCTCGGTTGGACCTGGTTCCCATTGAAGTCCATTATAAGGAGAAAAATCCTGGAATGTTTTCATCAAAAACCTTCATTTCTTTTCGACTGAAGAAAGAAAGACATGGACATCTTGGATGACATGGGGGTGAGTAATTTATCAGCAAAAGTTTTTTCAAAAGTGAACTAATCCTTTAAGCCTTTTCTGTGATGGCAAGAGCCTAATTTATCTGCCAAAAATGTTAAACATTTAAAACAATGGATGATAATTTTATATTTAATTCAGTAAATAATATACACTAGTAAGAAAAAAAATGCTTAAGTGGCAACAGTGTTTTCTGGAAATGGACCATGGTATTAAAGGTGCTGTATGTAACTTTTTAACTATACTAAAGCATAAAAATACCATAGTATGTTTGTAGATATTTAGGAAATATCCAAGTTCACATACTCGTTTCTTTGAAAAACGCTTCTACAGCCAGTTATTTTACTTTGAAAATGTGCGTTCCGTGTTGGAATGTGTAGTATTTCGACACGCCGGGATGCCAGTTGGCAGGAAACACCGTCTATTACAGCCAGCAAACAAACTGGGTCAGAGATTGCAGATTCTACTCAACCTAAAAAGCCTCGGTATCCATCTAAAAATAAAAAACGAGAGCATATTAAAACGCGGATAAATCAACTCATCCCAGTCTTCTCAGCTTTCATTGTCATTTGCACTCGAACTTGTTGCGTGTCCTCAAACTGGCAACCCGCGTGAGCGTAGGGAAACAACGATCTCTGATATTTGGAATTTGGACTGCAGTACCAATTTTGAACACTAGCTGTCATTAGTACAGACTGCAGCTTTAAAGGGATAGTTCACTTAGAAAGACATTTTTGGTATGTTTTAGCTTACCTCAAGGGCATCCAAGATGTAGGTGTCTTTGTTTCCGCAGTAGTTTCAATTTTGATATTTTTAGGTCAAACCGTTCTTGTCTGTCAGTCATATAATGGAGGTCTATGGTCACCACCTCAAAGAGCATGCACAGAGAAGTCCAAATTAAACATGATTTAATGACTCGTAAATGTAAGTACACATTGATGGCCTAAGACAAGAAACGAGCGGTTTGTGTGAGAAAACGAACAGTATTTATATTGTTTTACCTCTTGCAACCACAGAGTAAAAACTATATAAATACTGTTCGTTTTCTCACACAAACCGCTCGTGTGGATTGGGACTTGCATGGATGATCAATCGAACAAAACGATCAATTTAGGCAAACAAAGTAAGTATGGTCAATTTCGAATTCATGGGAACTTGAGAGAATGGTGTACACACACGCACAGAGAAAATAAAAATGACTTATTTTTTTTACAGAAATCCTGCTGCTCCGTGATGTCAGCGGAACTCAGTCAGCGCTTCAGAGGTGGAGAGGTGCCGGAATCCTCAGAGAAAAGCAAAGCCTAAACCCCAGCATTGACACGTGTATTTTACCACTTAATCTATTAAGTTCACAACAAAAGTTTTTCACTACTAACTAAACAGGGTGGGTGAAACTCATAAAAAAAAATGTTTTTCACACTTGCATCGAAGAAGAAAAGAAATTATTCAGTGCATTGCGAATTCTGATTTTTTATTTTTATTTTGGTTTTGGGTAACATTACCATTATGTAAAAACACTTTCCAGTTTAAATATAATATTATGATGTTTTTTTTACATTACGGTAACGAGAATGAGATTTTTTCATATTTCACTTATTTTGGTGTGAAAAATATTTTTTAAAGGTTTCATGAGGTTCACCTGGGTAGTCTAGCATTGTGTATTTTTAAACACAAAATGTGGTTCTATCAATTTCTAATCAATTTCATTGATTTTATAAAAACTAAATCTAAGGTTTAGTTTTATTTAGATTTAGTTGGATGGAAGGATGCATCATTATTTTATTAGCATCTTATGTTATGTTCTTTCAATACAAGAACGGATACAGCTGTTAAGATATAACATTTATTGGGAAAAAATAAAGATTTCCTACAATTTTGAAAACAGTTGTCATATTCAGCCTTTTTATTTCTTGATTGCTGAGATCAGCCCTTATGCTATTTTTTAAATGCATGTGTCGTCATGAGTGAAATTGTAATATTTCTAAATATAATAGAAGAAATAGCATAAATATATAAATCTTTGTATTCCTATAATAAAATGATGCATGCAACATGACTAAGCTCTCTCTCTCTCTCTCTCTCTCTCTCTCTCTCTATATATATATATATATACCCATTGTCTCCTGTGAAGAGATCAGTTTCTTCTTTTTTTCTTAAAATTTTCTTAACAAAATAAAAAGCTGAAATATGCTATTTGCATATAATTCTTGTTTTCAGTATTATTTATGCATATTAATAATTATCAGATCAGATTTTGACGTGACTATTGCTATTGATATTCACCTGTTTTGTTTTTGGGCCACTGCCATGTTCATTCGGGGAATGGGATCGGCTTCTTTGAATTAAACAGGCTTTCCTGCAGTATTTCACTATATTTTGCCTGAACCATTCTCCATTCTGTTTTTAAAAGAAAGCCCAGTCGCTAAAGAAGACTCTGGTCTGAAAGTTTAAGATTTGGATTTGGTGTAAAAAGTCTCATCCAACCACAGAATCTTTTCCCACGCTGAACTAAATCACTGTTTTCTTGGCAAATACACATGGTTCTTTTTGAGTAATTGCATCTTTGTGCCAGGCTCTCATAGCAGTGTTATTCACAGCCCTTCATTTGGTCAAGTGGGTCACCTTTACTCTGTTTTAGCTATTGAACTACAGCTCTTTCAAAGTGAACGATGGCCTCTCTGTGGCTTCTCCCACAAACCTCCTTCTTCAAGTGCTGAGCAATGTTTCCTCTGGGTTTTTTTTTTTTTTTATTCTCTATTGGGTGAACATTTTAGCCGTCTGAGCAAAAACATTCTTTAAACCAGACCTGTACAGCGTAACACACAAAAAGTGGTTTCATCATGCAGTTGTAACTTTTAACTTTAATATGATATTTCTATTTGATTTGAACCTTAATGTAACTTAGTTATCATAAATCATATTTTTTATTCAATTGTATTTTATTCTATTTAAAGATCATTTAAAAAATGTATAATATAATAATGAAGCAGTTACAATGAGATTTAGGATAGCCATAATGTGTTATTGGGCAGTCAATTATTGGCAATTATAGGTCAGACAGCATTAAACCATCAAAAATAATTTTTTGTTTGTTGATTATGAATTTGCAAGATGGTCTATATCAGGGTTTTTATAACTGTTTAATGACAAGGAGCCCTAAGCCCCTTGTGCTATCAATTCTTTATTAGGTTTATAATATCATATAATATACACTCTAAAATGCTATAGCACCACTGCCATTTAAAGAACCAGTTAAGCCCAGTTTGGTTCTTAAGCGGTTCTTCAGTGGTTCTTCAGTGGTTCTCTGGTGGAAAACGTGCTCTATGGCACCTCTTATGGTTCTACATATCATATGACAAAGTTAAGTGTTAATGGTTCCCCTATGATTACAAGCCAATGAACCACTTTTAGTGCTATTTAGCACATTTTTTTTAGAGTGTAGGCTAATTAAAGTAATTCAATTGATGTAATATATCGCAGATATAACAACTGATATAATATATTATATCAGTTTAAATGTTTCTATTTGTTTTAAAAGCCAATTGTATTATATGAAAACAAACTGAAGTATTTAAACAGCTCTAATAGCTAAATATAAAAAAGAAATATAATATAAAGACATGTGTGTGTATATATATATATATATATATATATACAGTATATATACAGTATGTGTGTGTGTGTGTGTGTGTGTATATATATATATATATATATATATATATATATATATATATATATATATATATATATGTCTGTGTGTTATTTAAAATATAGATAAATTGAAGAAAATGCATCCTGCAGCTAAGGAAACTGTAAGATGCATTTTCCCTTATACAAATGGGACGTGTGTAAAAGGACATGTGTAAAAGGACTTCGAGATCTTCATTTGTTTTTTAATTGTTATTTAAGACCTAGGAACAGAATTTCCACGACATTATCTAAACATAGGCTACATGAAACCCACGGAAAATAATAATAATAAATTTGAGTTTGCACCTGTGGTGGGTTGTAAAAGAGACAGCCCCCCCCCCCCCCCCCCCGCCCACCCCCCACCCCCCGCCCCGAGAATATAAACCTGAAAATAGGCTTTTTATGCCATTGTTATATAACAGTTAGTTTGATCCTCGAATCTCACTTTACTAACGGCTTTCTGCACGTGCGACAGGCTGTCACTCAGTCCAGTTACATTGTTACGCCACTAGGTGGCAACAAGGGACTGTCTTTGAGTGAGTCATTAAACTGCTAATTTAAAGGAAATTTAAAAAATTTGGATTCATTCAAATGTAGATGTAATGAAACAAGCTGTTATTTATTTTAATATTTAATTTTAACTGTGAGCTCCACTTTACAAGGCTCAGCTCAGCTGCAATGCGGCGCATGGGCAACACAAGCTGATGCTTCACTTCATAGAGATCAATAGCATTTTTTTCATTGTATTGACCAGAGCTGACAGACTAATTGTAAAATAATTTTTTCAGCATAGATCATTTCTATAAGGTGTCCAGAACAACATACTAAAAGTCCTAAGAAATCCTAGTTGAGGAAATATGTTTTATTAAATTTTATCAATCCGAGGTGTGTGCCAATAAGGCCAGACAACAATACACCCCATTTTTTTTCCTTTACTCCAATCAAAATAAAACTTTATACAATGAAGGTATCCATGAAAGTAACAAATTGTGTATTACAAGTTTCTTTGAAAATTAATTTTATTATGCAAATGAGCTCTACACTAATCGAATATGCTCAAAATACACCCAAATAGGCTTCATTTTTTCCTTTACTCCAACCACAATAAAACTACACAATGAAAGTCTACATGAAAAGTAAAACATTTTCTATTAGAAGTTTCTTTGAAAATTAATTTGAATATGCAAATGAGCAATATACTAATCGAATATGCCCAAAATACACCCTAATGGGCTTATTTTTTCCTTTACTCCTATCACAATCAAACCTCACAGAACATCTTGTAATAGCAGAGCCAGACAGTATTGGAGTACATTTAAGTACAGCACTTAAGTACAATTTTGAGGGATCTGTACTTTACTCGAGTATCATTTTTGGGGAGTACTCATGTCTTTACTCAAGTATAATTGAGAGGGAAATATTGTACTCTTCACTCCACTACATTTCTATCCATAACTGTGTATTTAAATTTTTTTTAGAAGTAGTAAGTAACCGGTGGGTAGGCCTACGTACCCACCGGTTACTTACTACTTCTAAAAAAAATTTAGGTAACACTTTAAAATAATGGTCCGTAGTTAACAAGTAGCTATGCAGGAAGTAATAGGTAGTACTGCATTAACACCGAAGTTAATACTATTAACTAATATGGAAGCAATATTAACTAAGCATTAAGTAATAGGTAATTTAGTACAAAGGTAGTTCCTTAGTAGGTATTTGATTGTTACTAAAGAAATATATCCTCATTGAGAACTACTTGTGAACTAAGAAATAATAACCAATTAATTACTAATCACAAAAGTAACATGTCTAAAAAGTGAACAATTGTGGGGGTTTTATACTCTTAACATGATCATAACATTTCAGAAGCATGTGCCTCAAATGGGTTCTTTGTGGAAACCAGTTTATGAAGTTTATATATCCTCCCAAATACATTAGCTAGGTTGAGATTGTGACTACTCTTGCCAGGATGGACGCATGTTCTCTGTTTATTTAAAACTTAAACATAAAATAATACTAATAAAGACAGTTTTTAAAAATAAATCTTCTGTAAAAAAAATTTTACAGTCTATGGTGTCGTCACATGATTCTCAGTTGAAAAGCTTAAAATACATTGTTTAAAATTGAGATTTTAGTAATAAGTAAAAAAAAACATTCCCATAAAGATAATAACTACTTTGATGTACAGTTTTAACCTATTTGATTTTTTTATCAGTTTAAAACCTTATTTGTCACTGGCCCAATTACAGACGTCCTGCTTGATCGATGTGCGCTCACGCGCTCTGCTCACGCACGCGGCTTCGGATGCGCGTGCGAGCATATGAATGATTCGAGTAGGAGTTGCTATGGCGACGCGTCTTATGAATTCTGACTGCAAATGTCAACACTTTGATCGCTGTTGGTTGGTTGGGAGTCGAGGCGATTTCAGAGACTTTTGCTGAATATTTTCACTGCTGAACTTGAGATTTTGAAGCTGTTCGGAGGATTTCAGAGAGGAGACTTTTATTCTAGACTTTTATTCTTTTATTCTAGATAATATTATCCTAGCTACCACTACATCGTTTTTATTTTTATTTAAATTTTAATATTATTTCTGAGGGCGCTTTAATTTGATTGTTCTTTTCTTATTTTTGAGGGGGTTTGGAGTTTTATTTTTTATTTTATTTCTTTCTTTATTTTATTTATTTATTTTTTGGGGGGTGGGTTATTTCTGAGGAGCATTGTTGTATTTTCTTGTATTGTATTTTATATTGTATTGGTCTTGTTTGCAGGAGGATGCCAGGCCCGACCAGGACTCCGGGCCAGGCCCAGGAGCTTATTCCTGGATATTTAACATCTCTGTCTTGTGAGTCTGTTTCTGTGTCCACAGGTCCGGCTAACAGGAAGAGAGAGAGGCAGAGAGACAGCCAGCAGAGCCCAGATGATGGACGTCCGTCCACTTCATCTCAACACTCTCGCAGAACAAAGGCAAAGGTAGGGTGACCAACAGTCCTGTTTTCCCAGGACATGTCCTGTTTTCACGTCCTGTGGCTGTTCTTTATAAAGTGATGAAAATGTCCTGGTTTTCAAAAAACTCCTGGGAAAGATCAGCTCTACAGCAAAATATAGATGGGCAAACAAGGAGTATGAGGAAGAAAAACAGGATAAAGAGGAATAAAGCTAAAGATATAAATATATTTATTTTATTAGTTCTTTTTGGTAAGTTTGTGAGGGATATTTTTGTTCAATTTGGAGGTATTTTTTTTAGTTATTTATTATTCATATGTTTATTTTTCTAATACAGAAGAGACATTATTTCTATCATTATTTCATTCATTATTTTTGAAACCTGTCATTATAAAACTTTGAGTAACCTCTGAGAAGCCTATCTGAATTTGAGTCTTGTAATATAAAAATGTTCTATTTATACAGAGGAAGCATAGCCTACTTTCAATGTATTGAAATTAATAAGGCATCCTTGAGTAAACTTTATCATTTGAGTATCTGTTTGCTGGGCCGAGTGTCCTGGTTTTTGGTAATCAAAATATGGTCCCCCTCTAGGCAGAGGAAAAGGAGATGCCAATGAGGAAGAGGAGGAGGATGGAGAGTTTGGTGAAGCTTCATTCCTGTGACTGCAGCGGCATCAGACCAGACCAGAAAACTGCATCGATACTTGAGAGAAGAGCTGAGGGTAAATCAAATGACCATTGGAGAATATCACTGGAGTGTCATTAATTACCATATATGACCACACCATATTATGTCAAAAAACAACTGAAGTTTGATCAAGCCGATAATCAGGTTTAGGTTTTATTCCAAGACACATCATAACTTATTCCAAGTCTCAATGAAGATTTTCTCCTTTCACCTTTTTTGTAATTGTTGTGCTTCAATGGGTACAGTGTTTTTACTAGTTTTTGAATGCGATGCCATTTTCTGTCAATGTTTTTTTAGAACCATCTTGACTTTGACATTGGAATTATGATGGGTAACTAGCCCATTCACATTTAATGACATTTGTTACATGTTGTGTGGAGTACACTAGATGTTTGTAGTCGTGTCACACTCCTATTTTTACACTTCGAGCTTTGCACTTGTATGTTTTAACTTCTGACAGTAGACATGACCTGAACAATTGCCTCTAGTGGCCAAAACTTGTGTTGCAAGTGCTTGAGTGGCACACCTGAAACTAATTCAACCATACTGTGTTAGTTTGTTACCAACACCCTGATGAAGGCCAGTGGGCCGATACGCGTTGGTGTTTTTTAATGGTTTAGCCCTCGATCATTTAATAAAGGCTTTTTTTTTTTAAACTTTTGTAACCCTGAGTGCCTGGGCTTAGATTTCTTTCCAATTTTTATGACACATCATAATACATTTAAACAAGGATTGTGTACAAATTTCAAGAATATCCATATGAGTATCCAAAGTTTCATAATTATGATTAGTTTGAAAAATGCTGTTGTGTGATATTCCCTGCTTTAGAGGATCATGGCCTTCAGGACGCTGTATCCAGTGGTGTTGAAGATCAGCGGGTTCAAACCCCTCCAGTTCCAGTCCACCACAGTCCAGCTCTTCTCCAGGAATGCTTTAAGGTATTGGCCCTAATAAGCTACACATGAATTTGAATATATATATATATATATATATATATTAACATTTGAAAGATGTTGACACCTTTTTGTGCATATGTTTAAAATGTTCTTTGTTTATTGTGATGTGGGAAGAAATGAAGGTCAAATCTCTTGTGTGTGCTCTATGTAAATCATCAGCCTGTTAGTGAGGAGAGTGCTAGTCAGGAGAGAGCGAGGAAAAAGAGTAGTTGTGTAGATCTGCTGGCTCTCCACTGGAGTTCTGGAGAGCATCTCTCTCTTCACAGCAGTGGCTCAGCTCAGGGGTTGAGAGTGGAGGATCAGACCACTGCAACCATTAGTGAGAGACACGCCGAGGGTAAATCCAGTCCCACCAGTTGACAATGTGGAAATGCTCTGTTTATTAGTGCTCTGTACATCAGAAAGTCTGCATCATTTTCAGCCAGATATGAGGATCCATTAATGGAAACTTAATTAATTAATTTTTCTGTTCCCTCGGATGAAGTGCCATTAATTAGCACATGTCACAAACTCACACCTATATCAAAATCCAAACATTTGATCAAAGTTATGAACATGTCTTAAATATTTAAACAGAACTTTTATTTTGTAAAGCAGAGGATCATGGTCTTCAGGACGCTGTTGAAGATCGGCGGGTTCAAACCCCGCCAGCTCCAGTCCACCACAGTCCAGTCCGTCCAGCACCGGCTCACAGCAACAGAGCGGACGCGACAGCTGAGGGTGAGTGACGGCCGTGACCACAAGCATTAAACTCACGGCTGTCCATGACACTAAAACGAATCATCTTTTTGCAGACGGCATTTTGAGGAGGTATGAAATGGGCAGAATGCTTGGTGAGGGATCGTTCGGCTCTGTTTATGAAGCCAAACGCTTGGAGGACGGCCTTCAGGTATCCGCATTTTCTCACAATATTTAGCCAAAAAATTCTTTTGTCTCACTATTAAGTCTTTTTTGTGGATATTTTCCCACTATTTACTGCATAAATGTAACGTTGTTTTTTCGGTTGATCAGGTGGCAGTGAAAATTGTCAGCAAGCCGCTGGACATGAAATACATCGACATTGTAAGTCGGCTACACTCACTGTGTGTTTTTGAAATTAAAGTATGTAAACATAATGACAACACCTTCATACAACAATGATCTTTGTTCCAGCCTGGTCATCCCGCACCCGTGCCATTAGAGGTCGGCCTATTAACCCTTGCTAACAGCGGCCCCAAAGTCTCCGAGATCATCGAGCTGCTGGACTGGCAGGACCAGCCTGACCGATACATCATGGTCTTGGAGCGTCCCACACCCTGTACAGATCTGTGGGAGTTCTGGAATGATCACGATGGAATCCTACAGGAGGACACAGCGCGGGTTATTATGGCGCAGGCAACAGTGGCGGCTCAGATGTGCTGTCGCCGTGGAGTGTTTCACCGGGATATTAAGCTGGAGAACCTGCTGATCAACCCAGAAACTCTTGAGGTCAAACTCATCGACTTCGGGTGCGGGGATCTCCTGCAGGACTCTGGCTATGAAACATTCTGTGGTATGAATTATCAATCAAACCTGTAGTTTTGGGACTTCAGTTCTAGTGACTGGTTCAGTCGGTGTCATATAAACCATATCTCACATTTGAGGCAGCATTTTTTAAACGAAACACACTAGATGTTTTGATCACATGCTCTGGTATTTTATGCTCTGGTACTTACCCATCAGACAACTCTCCTTCTTGCAGGCACTCTCGACTACCGCCCGCCTGAGTCCTGCACAGAGGGCAAGTACCACGGCAAACCAGCGACTGTGTGGTCTCTGGGAGTGCTTTTATTCCTGCTGGTGTGTGGACGCCTTCCAAAAGCACGAGACAGGCGAATGATAGAACAAGACATCTGGTCTAAGCCGCGCTTGTCCAACGGTAAGATGGCGTTCATCACAACAAAGAACAACAACTGTCATTTAAATCATACAAAACAAAGACATTATGAGAAAGTTACACCAAAAGATTTTTTCAGGTTTTCTGAGCGTACTTTATAGAATAGTGGAATCTTACAGCTTAACACACAGACAGCCGGTATAAAGTTGAAGGTAATAATCAGACTCGCTTCTATCGCTCTCCACAGAATGCTGCCTCCTGATCCGATCCCTCCTGAAGGAAAGCCCAAGACAGCGCATTTATTTGAGGAAAATCCTTCAGCATGAATGGTTTAAGGTAATGAGCCTATGATCCGCTACTAATGATTTAGAAGATTATATTCACTTTTCATTTGAAAGATTTTACAAATGTTTTCTTCTTATTGTAATCTATGACTGTAACCTTTTTTGCTTGTTTGTTTGCGGTCCCAGAATAAGCCATGAAGAGGAGTGTGGGGATTGGTCTTTTAGTTCCTGTGAAAGCTGCTCTCCACAGATCCTGCACTGGATCCAGAGTTTCAGTCTTCGAAAGCTTTATATATATTTTTTAACCTTTTGTACTTTGACTGAATTATTGGCTTGTCTGTTTGCTATTCTCCTCGCTGCCTGCTATGAGTTTGGTTGCGTCTTGGCTGTCTAAGCCTCGTATTAGCTTCATATTTCCTTCTGTTTTTCCGTATTTCTTTCTTTTATTCTATTCTGAACCATCATTTAACTCATAATTACAACTCGGACTGTTGGCCAGACCATTATAGCCATTATACGGCTGGAACTGCAAATACGGTTGGAACGTTTGGTTGTTGGTTGTAGAGCGAGACACTGCTTCACTGCTGCTCGTCCTGCAATCGATTGCCAAACGCGTTCTTTACACTCACTTACTATCGAACATTTTCCTATACGTGAGTCATGCGTCTACACTACACCCGTACCACTAAAAAGACGGATTATACCTAAGTCTTGAGTCATAAATTAGTATAAATACTAAACACTTCTCCACCCAGAACCGTTTCTCCCCTCTTCGTGAAAGATTCCACCGTCCGACACGTCCACGCTACGTTAGGTAAAAGTAAGGTGCACAGTCATTGCTTTCCTGGTGCTCGTGTTCTCGATATCACTGCGCGGGTAACTAAGATTTTGAACGGTGAAGAGCACGTCGGAGCTGTTGTGCTGCACGCGGGAGCTAACGACACTAGGTTCCGACAGACGGAGGTTCTGAAGAAAGACTTCAGGAGCCTTATCGATACGGTACGCAGCTAATACAGAATCTAGTAGCTAGGATCTCGTGTTTGCCGAGGCAGCATGTAGGTTACAAGTCTACTTTGCAGTTTGCTGTGTGAGTAAGAGGCATGAACAGTCAGCTCCTGAGGGTGCTGGCTGTGTTCATTGAGAAATAATAGCCTGTCGACTTTCTTCTCGAGAGATGAAGCCAAATATATTGTTTACTACTCGAATCTCGCGTTTGTTAAGGCAACGCGTTACGGGGTCTGCAATAAAAGGGACACACGCGATCTGATAAATAATACTGTTTAGGTGCGAGGCATTCACAGTCAGCTTTTGAGGGTGCTGGCTGTGTTCGTTGAGAAATATCTTGACGCGTACAGCCGTGCGCTGTCAGATGTTTCAGTCTCGCTCTCGCGCCTTCTTCTCCAGGGATGAAAGCCAAATTAAAAGGGCTCGTATCTCGCGTTTGCCGAGGCAGCGTGTAGGTTACGAGATCGTATAATTAAATATAAAACAGTATTCTGGTGTTTATGGCTGCATTTATTTCCTACAGCCTACCATACAGACCGTGTTTCACTTATCCCGTGTTATGGCTGCATTTAATTCCGAGGAGTTAATTAAAAATTGTATCTGACTTAGAACTTGATTAGATAATTTAATTCAGCCTACCATCCGAAGGAGAGTATCGCTTCTTGAGGTCCCTCTCAAAAAAAAAAGCCCCCCCACCACCACCACCCAAAAGAGAGCGATAAAGATCCTCTCTCTCACCGGGCCCTCAGGAAACTGGTGTCAGCATCCCGCTGCTAGTTACGCTTTGGGACACCTCAGTTTCCAGCGAATGCACGCTCTTCTGTCTGCCCCAAGAGCTTGCGGCCAGGCAGCGCTGGCGTTCGCACACCGAGAGTCGTTTTCGATTATTCCCTGGTGGTCTTCCACTTCAGGGTATCGTGAAAGGCTCTCACAAGACACTTGACACCAGCCCTGAGGGGCTGGTTCCCTTGCTGAATTTTGTGAGGCATGGCAATGTCTCCCCAATATTTCTCCATGGGTCCTGCGCACTGTTGAAATTTGATACAGGCTGCAGTTCCAGGTCCGCCCACAGTATCAACAGGGTGGTTTGGACTGCAGTAGACCCACAGCAGGGTCAAGTGTTCGAACAGGAAGTTCACTTGCTGCTGGAAAAAGGGGCCATAGAGCGTGACACCAGTCAGGGAGTCCGGGTTCTAAAGCCGGTACTTCATAGTTCCAAAGAAGGATGGAGGGTTGCGTCCAATTTTAGATCTGAGGCATCTGAATCGGTCTCTGAGGAGATTCAGGTTCAAGATGCTCACTATTCCCATCATCGTGAGTCAAATTCAATCCGAAGATTGGTTTGTCACGATAGAGATAAAAGACGCCTACTTCCACATCTCCATCCTTCCATCTCACAGGAAGTTCCTGAGGTTTGCTTTCGGGGCGAAGCTTACCAATATCGGGTTCTTCCATTCGCCCTAGCACTCTCCCCTCGCACTTTTACCAATTGTATGGATGCAGCTCTAGCACCCCTGACGCTCGAGGGCATCAGGGTGCTCAATTACATCGATGACTGGTTAATATTGGCCCAGTCGCGAGAGCTGGCGATTCGGCATCGAGATGTCATCCTCGCCCGCATCCAGAGCCTGGGGTTGAGACTCAACACGAAGAAGAGCGTGTTGACACCAACCCAGAGAACCACGTTCCTGGGAATGGTGTGGGACCCGGTCACGATGCGAGCACAGTTGTCTCCTGCTCGGAGTCTATCCTGACCACAGTGTCCATGATAAAGCTAGGCCGTCATTGTCAAACACTTTCGGAGAGTGTTGGGTCTCATGGCAGCAGCGTCCAGCGTGATACCTTCTGGCCTGCTAGAGCGTGTTGACACCAACCCAGAGAACCACGTTCCATGGCAGCAGCGTCCAAAGAGGGTTGCCGTTACTTCATAGTTCCAAAGAAGGATGGAGGGTTGCGTCCAATTTTAGATCTGAGGCATCTGAATCGGTCTCTGAGGAGATTCAGGTTCAAGATGCTCACTATTCCCATCATCATGAGTCAAATTCAATCCGAGGATTGGTTTGTCACGATAGATATAAAAGACGCCTACTTCCACATCTCCATCCTTCCATCTCACAGGAAGTTCCTGAGGTTTGCTTTCGGGGGCGAAGCTTACCAATATCGGGTTCTTCTGTTCGGCCTAGCACTCTCCCCTCGCACTTTTACCAATTGTATGGATGCAGCTCTAGCACCCCTGACGCTCGAGGGCATCAGGGTGCTCAATTACATCGATGACTGGTTAATATTGGCCCAGTCGCGAGAGCTGGCGATTCAGCATCGAGATGTCATCCTCGCCCACATCCAGAGCCTGGGGTTGAGACTCAACACGTAGAAGAGCGTGTTGACACCAACCCAGAGAACCACGTTCCTGGGAGTGGTGTGGGACCCGGTCACGATGCGACCACAGTTGTCTCCTGCTCGGAGTCTATCCTGACCACAGTGTCCATGATAAAGCTAGGCCGTCACTGTCAAACACTTTCGGAGAGTGTTGGGTCTCATGGCAGCAGCGTCCAGCGTGATACCTTCTGGCCTGCTACACTTGAGAGCTTTACAGTGGTGGTTGAGAACCAAGGGGTTTTTCCCCAAGGGGAAATCCATTCTGCTTGATAAGGGTTACGTGCAGATGCCTTCGTTCCCTATCAATTTGGAAGAAGCCTTTGTTCCTGTCCCAGGGTCCCAAATTGGGAGCATTACGTCGCAGAGTATCTGTTTCGACAGATGCCTCCCTCACAGGCTGGGGCGCGGTCATGGACGGCCGCTTTACGAGAGGTTTCTGGCAGGACCATCATTCCTCTTGGCACATAATTGCCTAGAGATGTTGGCAGTGTTCCGGGCTCTGAGGAGCTTCCTGCCAGACCTCCATGGTGGCCATGTCCGCGTGAGAACCGACAACATGTCGGTGGTGTCTTATTCGAACCGCCAGGGGGGTCTGAGGAGACTATCGTCTCTCAGAGCAATGTATGTCCTGGGGGACCAGAATCAGGGAGCAGATGTACTGTTGCGGCAGGGGCTGAGGCCCGGGGAATGGAGACTCCACCCCGAGATGGTGGAGTTGATATGCAAGAGGTTCGGCCCAGTGGACGTGGACCTTTTTGCGTTTTGAGAGACCACACACTGTCCACTCTGGTTCTCCCTCATGCATTCAGCCCCGCTGGGGTTGGATGCCATCGTGCGGACGTGGCCGAGGCTACCTCTGTACGCTTTTCCCCCGATCGCTCTGCTCTCAGCAGTTCTGGAAAGGGTCTGTCGAGACGGAGTCAGTCTACTCTTAGTAGCCCCATTGTGGCCGGCACGAGTTCCGTTCTCAGACATCATTTCACTCCTGGCAGGCCCGCCATGGCAGATCCCTCTGAGGAGGGACTTGCTGTCCCAGGCGGAAGGCTTAGTTCTCCACCCTCCACCCCGAGCTGTGGAAACTCTGGGTCTGGCCCCTGATGGGGTACAGTACCTAGAAGCCAGCCTCTCAGCTGGAGTGGTCGAAACCATACTAACTTCCAGAGCTCCCTCCACAAGGAAGTTATACGGCCTTAAGTGGAATGTATTTTCCATTTGGTGCAGAGAGCGTGATTTGGACCCAGTTAACTGCCTAGTGGCTTCAGTACTCGAGTTTCTCCAAGACCGCTTTTCTGCTGGGCTTACCCCGTTCACACTCAAGGTTTATGTGGCTGCCATTGCGGCTTTCCACGCTCCTCTGAGTGATGGTCCTCTGGGGAGGTATCACCTGGTCGTACGCTTCCTCCGTGGAACCTGGAGGATGAGACCTGCGACTCGCACAAGGGTTCCCTCTTTGGACCTGGCAGTGGTTCTCGAAGGGCTGGCCGAGGCCCCCTTCGAACCATTGGAGTTGGCTGAGGCCAAGAACCTTTCGTTTAAGGTGGTCTTTTTGTTGGCCATTTGAGGAGGGTAGGAGATCTCCAGGCGCTCTCTATTTCCAATGGGTGCTTGGAGTTTTCTCCAGGCAACATTAAGGCCATCTTACATCCCAGGCCCGGCTATTTGCCCAAGGTGTCATCTAATGTGGCACCTATGGTTCTGCAGGCATTTCATCCTCCACCTCATGTGACGGCGGATGAGGAGAGACTTCATCTGCTCTGCCCTATCAGAGTACTTCGGTATTACATCCAGAAGTCCTCATGGCAGAAGTTGGATCAGTTGCCCAAGAAGGGGCTTCCCGCCTCTAAGCAGAGCATCAGCAACTGGATCGTTCAGACTATTTCCCTGGCCTATCAGGTGCGCAATTTGCCTTCAGCTATGGCCGTGAGGGCCCACTTCACCAGAGGCATGGCGTCCTCTAGAGCCCTCCTTTCAGGGGTTTCTATCCATGACATATGTGAGGCGGCTGGCTGGGCCACTCCGCACACATTCATGAGGTTTTACAGTCTGGACCTTCCCTCTACACCCGGTGCACGAGTGCTTTCGTTATAAGTTGTGCCTGAAGACAGCTTCACACTAGGATGAGCGGGGTTCGTTGTGGTATAGTGGGCATCTCGTTCCCCTAGTATCGTCACCGACGCAGTTCGAGTTCCCTCGAAAGGGAACGTTTCGGGTTGTGTATGTAACCCTTGTTCCCTGAGAAAGGGAACCAGACACTCACCCTGCCTGGAGCACTTGCTTCATAGCAAAAGCTGACATTTCTGTGTGCCGGCGTGCTTTTGTATACATCCGATTATGCCGTCACACGCTACGTCATCACACAACGCCAATAGGATTGGATTCGGTTTCATTCATAAATTCAGACGCGCTACGCTGAAGGGCTATCCCCTAGTGTCGTCACCGACGCAGTGTCTCGTTCCCTTTCTCAGGGAACAAGGGTTACATGCGTAACCCGAGACGTTTTACTTTATCTTAGCGCTGCGTTCGAAACTATAGATTACACAATACTCTTAGATCGACTACACAATTACACTGGTGTTCAAGGTCAAGCATTAAGCTGGTTCAGGTCATACTTATCTGACCGCTACCATTTCGTCTACTTAAATTGGGAAAAATCGATCATTACTTCGGCAAACTATGGAGTGCCGCAGGGATCTGTGTTAGGCCCTTTATTATTCTCAATATATATGCTGCCACTTGGTAATATTATAAAGAAACATGGAATTAGTTTCTATTGTTATGCTGATGACACTCAAATATATATTTCATCACGGCCAGATGAATACGCAAAATTATCCAAATGGAAAGATTGCGTTAAAGATATAAAAGATTGGATGACGTGTCATTTTCTTTTATTAAATCCAGACAAGACAGAGGTGATAATTATCGGTTCTAAAAACCGTCCACAAAACCTTTCGCAGCACGACTTTTAACATATTACGATGCCCTGTTACTTTATCCGCTACAGTAAAAGACCTGGGTGTTATATTAGACTGCAACCTGTCTTTTGAAAAGCATATTTTATATGTTACAAAAACAGCCTTTTTCCACCTTAGAAACAATGCTAAGCTACGTAACATGCTATCTGTCTCTGATGCAGAAAAGTTAGTTCATGCATTCATGACCTCGAGACTAGATTACTGTAATGCTTTATCAGCTGGTTCTCCTGCATCCTATATAAACAAGTTACAGTTAGTCCAAAATGCAGCCGCCAGAGTTCTTACTATAGATCAAGAAAATATGATCATATAACACCGATTCTATCATCACTTCATTGGTTACCTATAAAGTTCTGTATTAATTAAAAGGTATTGCTTTTGACTTATAAAGCTCTTAGCTCCCGTCTATTTAACGGATCTTCTATCGCCCTACAATCCATTGCGCTCTTTAAGATTCAAGGCTAAATTCACTAAATTCGAGGCTTCTGGTCATTCCTAGGGGGAGCATTTTCACATTTAGCTCCGACGCTCTGGAATAGAACTTCCTGATAGTGTTCGTTGCTCAGACTCGCTCTCCAAGTTTACTGTAAAACTAGACTAAAGACGCATTTATTTAGCCACGCATTCACATAATTTTTTTTTATCTTACAGTTACTGTAAACAAACACTGTTAAGTTGTTTTGATTGATACTGTGAAGCAGCTTTGAAACAATTGGTATTGTGAAAAGCGCTATATAAATAGGCCTATATTTGACTTGACTTGACTATTCTACACACTTTGTATTCTTGTATAATGTATTCTTGTATAATGGCTGTTATTGTTCATTAACTATTATTGTTCAGTAAATAATATTTTGTAATAATAATATATTGGCGTACCTGATTTTGAGAGATGGTGTGTGTGTTCGACCGCTTAACTATGATTGCTATCAGGATATGAGGAGACTTTCAACCCGCATAATAAAAAAATAAATTGTAGACAGTCACCTATTGCACCTCAGCATTTTCCACACACTTTTATCTTTATATGGAAACAATATCCTCTATCCACCTTATTTTTTTTTTTTTTAAATGTAATGCCAAGGTAAAAAAAAATACAAGTACATAGCAAAAATGTGAAAGTAACAGACAATTAAATGATAATAAAATCCATAATTTATACAAATATGCATGGGCTGCTATACATAGATGTTTCATATAGCCTATATATATGTGTAAAAACAAGAAAAACAGAACAGAAAACTTTATGAAATGAATCAAAAAGTTGAAACAAGGTTACTTACTGAGCTTTAAGATTCTCAGATGATGAAATATTTTGGATACTGTTGGACCTCTCTCCTAAAAACAGTGAATAAAGGATTTTGAAGAGAGGATTTAATAGCAATAATAGAATAATAATAAAGTATTCATTCGTTTGAGCTTTTTGTATATTAAAAAGACAAACATTACATCCTTAAAAAAAGATAGAGAAACCCAGAAGAACATTGCAGTTCATTCGTCCCAAAATTGGTCTCAAAATAGTTGTGTGTGAGGACAATCCCAGAAGATGTGAGGAGCAGTTTCATCAGGGCACCACAGAAAGAACAACGTGTGTCTATATCTGCCTTAAACCTTTTCAAAAAAGCTTTGGCAGGGTTAAATTTGTGTAATCATTTTAATGAAATGTCTTTCAAAAGCAAAGTCCATACTGGCAAAGTCAATAAGGTCAATAAAATACATCCAATATGACGCCACATATAGAGTTGTTACAAGCTCCTTTTAAAAGAGAGGTCTAATTCTAGAATTAAAGCTGCAAGCAGCCTCTACGGGGCCAAGCACTTCAATGGTTCCTTGGCTTCAAAAAGTAGTCAAAAATACTTTGCTTTCAAAACTTTCAAAGAAACTTTAGTAACCAAAGTATTCTTACTTCATAACTTCATGACCACTTCATTACTCAAAATGAAGACTTTGTATAAAAATGAAACACACTGTATATTTAATCAGAAATACTTATATATATAGATGTTCATTAAAATTACAAAAGTATTGTATTTCATTGCATTGCATTGTATTTTTTAAGTTCATTTATTGACTAGCATTATTTAATCTTGCTCAGATTTGAAAAAAATATTAAAGTATTATAAAGTATACTAAATATTAAGTATTGTTACTATTAAACACTGTACATAATTATTTAATTTTAAAAATGTTCTTGTTTTTTTTTTTTCATTTTCTCCACAACCATATTATTATTGCTGTCATTTAATCTATAATTTTAAATTGTTAAATTTCTTTCCATTGTCCATTAAAATCAAACAGTCTAGTCCTTGTTTGCATTGCAATTTAGTGTGTTTTTAAAGTTAATTTTATTGACTTGCATTATTTTATCTTGGTCAGATGTGTAAACACTATTAATAACTGTTAATTAAACACTGTACATAATTATTTTTTATTTTTTTAAATCTTGTTTTTTTCCCAGCTTTATGTTATTATTATTATTATTATTGTTCTTATTAATGTTATTGTTGTTCAATCTATAACAACTTATAGATTGAACAACAATTTAATACATTACCTTTTTCAGTTTTACATAATAAGATGTATATTATTGTATTATAAATAAAATGATAAACTTACTATTTGGTGTTTACTGGTTATATTTCATATATATATATATATATTGGATTTCTGTGCATAGTTAAAGAAATATAATGTGAAAATCTCTAAAAAAAAAATAAAGGTCTAAAACATTATCAAAATGTTCTATACAATTATTCACATTCAAATATTTTCTATATTAAAAGAGAACTATACCCTATTATAATTTAAATGTTTATTGAGATAATTGGACATTTCGTACATCCTACACAAGAACAAATCTTAAAAGTTTTATTCTATTTTCAGCACAAATTTAGTTTATTATATATGTAAATCGTACGTTGACATGAATTTGTAATCATTTTTTAATCTAGATACAATATATGGTATTTGTGGTCGAGACGGGACTCGAACCTATAATAATTAATTTAACTATTATGATAGCAGGATATCACATGGTCATTGGTATATTTTATTTTATTTCTCCAGGTGTGTTTTTAATTATGTTGGCCAATGAGACAGGCACCATACTGTCCAACGCAAAGGTATTTATTTGTTTGATGTGTTTTTTTACTGATAAATACTGAAATTCTTTAATTCAGGGGATCTTAAAGTTATGGCTATGCTCTTGTTACCAGATAGGATATAGGCATTTGACCCTGTGATTCTTCAGGACAAGATCTTGATGCCATCCATACTCGGTACATGACGAAGGTGAGTTTCGCAATTGCTGCCATTATCACAAATCAAGAGACAGAACACAACAGGCCTTCTTCCATATGAACTCACCCATATGTAGGAATGGGTACCGAAACCCGGTGTTAAACGGGCCCTGGGGTTCTGTTGTCAATCCGCGTTCACGGGTCCGCAGTGACGCCGCTGACGTGTGTCCCGTGTATTCGGGTTCAAATAATTAGAGGAGGACTTGCATTTATCTTGCCCAGCCATGTGTCTAAATCCTTAGACATCCTTAGAACCCAGATTTGTTTTGTTTACAGCGTGCGTCTCCCTCTGACTGTAAACGAAGCTTGGGAGCACCAGACACACGTCAGAACCGGAAGACAATATAATGCTGAATAAAGTCGCAGTTTTTGTTATTTTTGGACCAAAATGTATTTTCGATGCATCAAAACATTCTAACTAACCCACGGATGTCACATGGACTACTTTGATGTCTTTATTTCCTTTCTGGACAAGGACAGTATACCGTACATACATTTTTAATGGAGGGACAGAAAGCTCTCGGACTAAATCTAAAATATCTTGAACTGTGTTCTGAGGATTACGAGGCAATGAACCAGTTTTAGTGCTGTTTAGCACCATTTTTTAGTATGTATAAGTAAAGGAGAATACATTCAGCTGATCATATAATGTACATTATTTCTGCTTGGCTTTTGGAGCCCTAATATTGTTATTTATGAAAACACTGGCTGAATTGACATTATTAGATGGCTACTTCATAGTGCAACTGACTAATAGCAGTTGAGTATTCCAGATTGTGTGTTAATGTGGTGTGTATTCTTCTCATTTTAGCTCCCGCGTCCATTTGGGCTGAAGGTCGAGACAGAACCAAACCAAAGCTGGACTGTAACCTACTGGCCACAGGACAGACTTGTTTACATTTTGATGATCTCCTTCTGTCTACATGAAGTTCTATTGCTGAATTCCCTATTATTTGTTGTTGGAAACGATGCAAGTCCCGTTCATTGTTCTCGTAAATGTTAGGATATACATTTATGCCATTTCCTGAGTGTTGAGTTGCGTTGACTTGACTGGAGTGGTTTTAACATGCACTGGATGGAGATCTCTCTCCTCTTTTTAGCACCTTAGTCACTGATTGTGTCCCTCCTAACTGTAAAGCCGTGTTATTCGTTTCTTTTAGTCTCTTCTGCTGTCGTCGTGCTCTTTCTCTTACGTGCATCTCTTAGCTCGGTTAATTTCCTGTGCTCATTTCTTCACTCACTCAAACCCGTTTGCTGCTGATGTTTGGAACTTCACTGCAGTTGTTGCTGAATGAAGGAAAAGATGGATTCTGGTGGAGAGGAGGCATCTGGAGTTTGACCGAATGGGGTGAGCCGAGTGGGCCCCCCCTTCATCTTCGGCTCAATGCCCTCCTGAAGGCACAGTTCCCTGGTATATGAGCAGAACGAACATACTTGAAGAGCTAGAAATGCTCAAAGACTCTCAGTGCTTCTGTACTGTTTCTTATAGTGACGATGAAATAGTCCTTTTTTTTTTTCTTTTCTTTTTTTTAAATGAAATTAATAAACATGCTGTTTTACAATTGCAATGTGGCGTAATTGAATATTTGTGCTTCTATACAGCTGTAATGCACCCAGAGTACAGAAATGTGCTTTCACTTTTCAGATTTTATCATGCATTTGGTTATGATTTTTGCATAAGCAAACCATTTCATTTTAGCTAAAATGTCTTGATTATATATGTGCATTTTCTCACTAGGAAAATGCACATATAGAAAGGTGCAGACAGAAAGGTATAGACGTCCGGTTTCCTGTAAGTATGCGTTTTTTGTTAAAATTATTCATATTAACACTTCTGTTATTGTGCAGTAAGCAGTGTCATCTTTTTTAAACATTTTATCTTGGGGTTTAGACATAATATTTCTTAATGTTATTTTATAATCTGGCTTTAAGTAGCTTATTCTTAAAGGATCATGAACCCCTAAAACCCCATTATTTATATATATATGTTTGTATGTATATATATATATATATATATATATATACGTATATATTTTATGTAAACAGTTATATGCAGGTTCCACACAGTAATAGCATTCAACAAGTAGAGAAGTGGAAACTTTATTTTCGCGTTTTCTGGAGCCCTTTCTGTCTTCTGGTTTGAAAAAAGCAATGCTGAAGAAATATCAGGAAATGTGAGGTATATGCTTCAGTTCGGAGTGGTTTAGACACATGGCTGCGCAAGATAAATGCAAGTCCTCCTCTAATTATTTGAACCCGAATACACGGACACACCAGACACGCGTCACTGCGGACCCGCAACCGCGGATTGACAACAGAACCCCAGGGCCCGTTTAACGTTTAACCCTCAGGTGCTCTTCGGTCATTTCTGACCGAAACATTTTCTGTTTTGAAATTTTAAAAATCACAGCTTCATCGGAATGTTACGAAACTTGGTGACTTTTATGGCATTGGGTATGTGAACACACAAAAAAAAAAAATTTAGGTCATGATCCGAGCAGGCTAAGTGGTCGTAAAAAAAAATAGTCACACTTGTGCTCTTTGGTCAAAAATGACCGACCATAGGAAATAAATGGGAAATTGACAAAAACACAAAAACTTTGAGAATTTTTGTGTGTACAATCTACAAATCGGCCACGATGCAGAAAAAAAAGTGCTCAGCATTGAAGGGGTGACACTCTAAAACATCAAGAGTGCAAAACAGACATACCCACCCCTACACACACACACACACACACTTTTATACACAAAAACACCAATACATTTTGATTAAAGAAATCTGTTTTGAATATTTAAAAATCACAGCTTCTTCAGAAAATTACGAAACTTGGTGACTTTTATGGCATTGGGTATGTGAACACACAAAAAAATTGAGGTTATGATTCGAGCAACTTAAGTGGTCGTAAAAAAATTAGTCACACTTTTGCTCTTCTGTCAAAAATGACGACCCATAGGAAATGAATGGGAAATTGACAAAAAAATCAAATTCTCTGAATTTTTGTGTACAATCTACAAATCGGCCACAATTCTAAAAAAAAAAAAAAAAAAAAAAAGTACACCGCAGGAAAGGGGTGACACTCTACAACATCTAGAGTGCAAAACAGACACACCCACCAACACACACACATACAAACACACTTTTATACACATACACACCAATAAATTTTGATTACAAAAAGTATGTTTTGAATTTTTAAAAATCACAGCTTCATCGCGATGTTACGAAACTTGGTGACTTTTATGGCATTATGTATATGAACACACAAAAAAATTGAGGTCATGATCTGAGCATGCTAAGTGGTCTTAAAAAAATAGTCACACTTGTGGTCTTTGGTCAAAAATGACCCCATAGGAAATGAATAGGAAATTGTAAAAAAATGAAGAAAAAAAAAATTGTGAATATTTTTTTTTTTGTCATTTTTTAAAAGATTTTTTATAAGAAATAGTTTCTAGACTCTATATTAAACTAAAATACTGCATTAATATTTTTTTGAAAAAAATAATATATATATATATATATATATATATACATTTCCATGGCAAAATAAACCATAAATATTGCATAAATATTAATAAATTCAATTAAATTGTCTCAAAATACTTAATTAAAAAGAATAAATATTACAGAAGAAAAATAAATTGCTATTTATACAGCAGTAAATGCCTGTAATTCTCGACGATGGTAACTGAATTTTTTTTTTTACCATACGTTATATATCATTGTGTATACATGTTAAAATAAACGTTATAGACGTATTAGTTGGATTAATGCTTGATTTATGTTTTTAAAGGTTGTTTTTTGATAGGCCTGTTTCACAAAATGGCGACCGGAAGTAGAGTAGGTCAAGCCGCCGCCCGCTGATTGGATCGCCGCCATTCATTCTCATTCCTTCTCGCAACGTCATCAGCTGACAAACAGTCTCTCGCTTGTTATCACTGCTTACAGGTAAGTTTAGTCAACAAAATCACACAAATAATAGATTCAAACGTTCCCGACACCCTTCTTACGTGTAATTAATACGCTTCTGCTGAATATTTACTTTATAGAAATGGTTTTGTGTCTTCGAAAAAGTCTGTTAGCATGATCCGTTTTCAGAAGAGGTGAGTTAAGTTAACGTTACACTGGAGCTCTTGTTGTATATAAGCTTAGGCTTTTAACCACATCTTTGTGTTGATAACAGTTTTTAATAGTTTTGTTTTGCTGGTAATTTGTCAATGGGTGATTGGAAGTAAGCTAATTTATTTAACCTAATGTGGAACCTGATTGTGGAAGTTTTTTTTTTTTTTTCATTTTTGGAAGTGTGGCACTTTATTTCTGTCAGTGTTCTGCGTTATTTCTGATTTTGATGATGAATTTTGTCTATTTTGAGTCCAATGATAAATACATATTTATTTATAGATATTTAAAAGATATCATAAATCCTCCAAAAACTGCAACTACAGCTCGCTAAAAACTGCACAAATGTTGAGTAAAAATATTAACAAACAGTAAATTAATATTTGTTAAAAAAAAAAAAAAAAACTATTGTTCTGTTTACAAAATTAAATGTAATTTTTTGGGGTCCAATGGACCCCGAAGACCACGAGTTTGACTATTTTTGTCACGCCTACATAAAAACAGATAACATTCCATTTTTTATTTATTTTTTTATTTTATTTTTTTTGTAGATCTAGAAAGTGTTGAGAGCCGTAGGACGTTTCATACCATTTTGGAAAAAGAGAAAAATTAATTCAAGCAAAAGTCATTTGGGGTCCAGTAGACCCCGAAGACAAGATGTGTGTGTGTGTGTGTGTGTGTGTATTATTTCTCTTTTCTGCATTTCACCTCTGCTCTAGCTTGCTTCCTTCCTTGTAATAAACCCTATGTTCTATTGCATATCCTTTGTAACATTGTTGGCTCTGTGACACATTGCATGTTATGTTCTAGATTCTAGAAGATCATCATGCTTGCTGATGGCCTGCTGCACTCCCTGAACAAGACAATCTCCACGGCTATGAACTCGACTAGTAAGCAAAACCTCAAACATACAGTGCACTACTGTTCAAATGTTGGGGGTCTGGAGGATTTATGCTTTTGAATGAAGTCTCACTCTTTCAATTTTTTTTCAGTGAGACTGTACTTGAGAAGCCTGTAGGCTAAATAATCAGCTAAATAATCGGCGGCAAATGTTATAATGGTCATAGTTATGATAATTAATTTAACTATTATGATAGCAGGATATCACATGGTCATTGGTATATTTTATTTTATTTCTCCAGGTGTGTTTTTAATTATGTTGGCCAATGAGACAGGCACCATACTGTCCAACGCAAAGGTATTTATTTGTTTGATGTGTTTTTTTACTGATAAATACTGAAATTCTTTAATTCAGGGGATCTTAAAGTTATGGCTATGCTCTTGTTACCAGATAGGATATAGGCATTTGACCCTGTGATTCTTCAGGACAAGATCTTGATGCCATCCATACTCGGTACATGACGAAGGTGAGTTTCGCAATTGCTGCCATTATCACAAATCAAGAGACAGAACACAACAGGCCTTCTTCCATATGAACTCACCCATATGTAGGAATGGGTACCGAAACCCGGTGTTAAACGGGCCCTGGGGTTCTGTTGTCAATCCGCGTTCACGGGTCCGCAGTGACGCCGCTGACGTGTGTCCCGTGTATTCGGGTTCAAATAATTAGAGGAGGACTTGCATTTATCTTGCCCAGCCATGTGTCTAAATCCTTAGACATCCTTAGAACCCAGATTTGTTTTGTTTACAGCGTGCGTCTCCCTCTGACTGTAAACGAAGCTTGGGAGCACCAGACACACGTCAGAACCGGAAGACAATATAATGCTGAATAAAGTCGCAGTTTTTGTTATTTTTGGACCAAAATGTATTTTCGATGCATCAAAACATTCTAACTAACCCACGGATGTCACATGGACTACTTTGATGTCTTTATTTCCTTTCTGGACAAGGACAGTATACCGTACATACATTTTTAATGGAGGGACAGAAAGCTCTCGGACTAAATCTAAAATATCTTGAACTGTGTTCTGAGGATTACGAGCCAATGAACCAGTTTTAGTGCTGTTTAGCACCATTTTTTAGTATGTATAAGTAAAGGAGAATACATTCAGCTGATCATATAATGTACATTATTTCTGCTTGGCTTTTGGAGCCCTAATATTGTTATTTATGAAAACACTGGCTGAATTGACATTATTAGATGGCTACTTCATAGTGCAACTGACTAATAGCAGTTGAGTATTCCAGATTGTGTGTTAATGTGGTGTGTATTCTTCTCATTTTAGCTCCCGCGTCCATTTGGGCTGAAGGTCGAGACAGAACCAAACCAAAGCTGGACTGTAACCTACTGGCCACAGGACAGACTTGTTTACATTTTGATGATCTCCTTCTGTCTACATGAAGTTCTATTGCTGAATTCCCTATTATTTGTTGTTGGAAACGATGCAAGTCCCGTTCATTGTTCTCGTAAATGTTAGGATATACATTTATGCCATTTCCTGAGTGTTGAGTTGCGTTGACTTGACTGGAGTGGTTTTAACATGCACTGGATGGAGATCTCTCTCCTCTTTTTAGCACCTTAGTCACTGATTGTGTCCCTCCTAACTGTAAAGCCGTGTTATTCGTTTCTTTTAGTCTCTTCTGCTGTCGTCGTGCTCTTTCTCTTACGTGCATCTCTTAGCTCGGTTAATTTCCTGTGCTCATTTCTTCACTCACTCAAACCCGTTTGCTGCTGATGTTTGGAACTTCACTGCAGTTGTTGCTGAATGAAGGAAAAGATGGATTCTGGTGGAGAGGAGGCATCTGGAGTTTGACCGAATGGGGTGAGCCGAGTGGGCCCCCCCTTCATCTTCGGCTCAATGCCCTCCTGAAGGCACAGTTCCCTGGTATATGAGCAGAACGAACATACTTGAAGAGCTAGAAATGCTCAAAGACTCTCAGTGCTTCTGTACTGTTTCTTATAGTGACGATGAAATAGTCCTTTTTTTTTTCTTTTCTTTTTTTTTTAAATGAAATTAATAAACATGCTGTTTTACAATTGCAATGTGGCGTAATTGAATATTTGTGCTTCTATACAGCTGTAATGCACCCAGAGTACAGAAATGTGCTTTCACTTTTCAGATTTTACCATGCATTTGGTTATGATTTTTGCATAAGCAAACCATTTCATTTTAGCTAAAATGTCTTGATTATATATGTGCATTTTCTCACTAGGAAAATGCACATATAGAAAGGTGCAGACAGAAAGGTATAGACGTCCGGTTTCCTGTAAGTATGCATTTTTTGTTAAAATTATTCATATTAACACTTCTGTTATTGTGCAGTAAGCAGTGTCATCTTTTTTAAACATTTTATCTTGGGGTTTAGACATAATATTTCTTAATGTTATTTTATAATCTGGCTTTAAGTAGCTTATTCTTAAAGGATCATGAACCCCTAAAACCCCATTATTTATATATATATGTTTGTATGTATATATATATATATATATATATATATACGTATATATTTTATGTAAACAGTTATATGCAGGTTCCACACAGTAATAGCATTCAACAAGTAGAGAAGTGGAAACTTTATTTTCGCGTTTTCTGGAGCCCTTTCTGTCTTCTGGTTTGAAAAAAGCAATGCTGAAGAAATATCAGGAAATGTGAGGTATATGCTTCAGTTCGGAGTGGTTTAGACACATGGCTGCGCAAGATAAATGCAAGTCCTCCTCTAATTATTTGAACCCGAATACACGGACACACCAGACACGCGTCACTGCGGACCCGCAACCGCGGATTGACAACAGAACCCCAGGGCCCGTTTAACGTTTAACCCTCAGGTGCTCTTCGGTCATTTCTGACCGAAACATTTTCTGTTTTGAAATTTTAAAAATCACAGCTTCATCGGAATGTTACGAAACTTGGTGACTTTTATGGCATTGGGTATGTGAACACAAAAAAAAATAAAAAATTTAGGTCATGATCCGAGCAGGCTAAGTGGTCGTAAAAAAAAATAGTCACACTTGTGCTCTTTGGTCAAAAATGACCGACCATAGGAAATAAATGGGAAATTGACAAAAACACAAAAACTTTGAGAATTTTTGTGTGTACAATCTACAAATCGGCCACGATGCAGAAAAAAAAGTGCTCAGCATTGAAGGGGTGACACTCTAAAACATCAAGAGTGCAAAACAGACATACCCACCCCTACACACACACACACACACACTTTTATACACAAAAACACCAATACATTTTGATTAAAGAAATCTGTTTTGAATATTTAAAAATCACAGCTTCTTCAGAAAATTACGAAACTTGGTGACTTTTATGGCATTGGGTATGTGAACACACAAAAAAATTGAGGTTATGATTCGAGCAACTTAAGTGGTCGTAAAAAAATTAGTCACACTTTTGCTCTTCTGTCAAAAATGACGACCCATAGGAAATGAATGGGAAATTGACAAAAAAATCAAATTCTCTGAATTTTTGTGTACAATCTACAAATCGGCCACAATTCTAAAAAAAAAAAAAAGTACACCGCAGGAAAGGGGTGACACTCTACAACATCTAGAGTGCAAAACAGACACACCCACCAACACACACACATACAAACACACTTTTATACACATACACACCAATAAATTTTGATTACAAAAAGTATGTTTTGAATTTTTAAAAATCACAGCTTCATCGCGATGTTACGAAACTTGGTGACTTTTATGGCATTATGTATATGAACACACAAAAAAATTGAGGTCATGATCTGAGCAGCTATGCTAAGTGTCTTTAAAAAAATAGTCACACTTGTGGTCTTTGGTCAAAAATGACCCCATAGGAAATGAATAGGAAATTGTAAAAAAATGAAGAAAAAAAAAAATTGTGA